CTCAGCTGGTTTCTCAAATTGATTTTGTGCTCCTCTGAGTCCATTGATTACCTCTCAAGGTCCATGACTACTTTTATCAATCCTGACATTGTTTAAACATTTTGTACAGTTCCCCTCAGTGCAATTATGGAAGACTTATAAAAAATGTAAATAGAGACTCAGTCAACTTCTTTATACGGCTAATTTTAACAGCAGTTTGCAACAAACTTTGCACAGGCTTCATTCCATTCTTCTATTTAGAAGGATACTGTTAACTATAACTGCAGTTGATTACACTGTAGAAAGATAGAAGGAATGCACGTTTTTATCTTTCCAATGATTTGAAAAGGTTTCTGATTAGGATAGAATTCCGTACCAAGATGAGATTGTGACATTTTTTCCTGACAGGAACTCTCTGCCTTTAATAGATACATGTGTCCAGAAACTGAACAAGCTTTCTTGTCCTAATAGAAGGAATATAAAGCATGTATCGGGTGGGGGTTGTGTGGAATGAAAATTATATTGTGGGGAATATCTGCTTTTAAAGGTATACCGTAAGATTATTAGATACATACTCATATACGACACCAATAGATGTAACTTAATGCTGGCTAGATTCCCACATAATGTACTAATGGAATAATTTGTCCTTAGTCTTGGACTCACATTCCCCTGCAACCTCAAATTTTCTCTCCCGTCGTTTTCATGTTGTGGGAAGAGTCACTCACTTCCCATTTCAGTCTAAACATGCTGGCTCATGGTCGCTCTGGTATGTTTAAATTAATTAGTTTGAAATAAGAAATGGCTCCTCTTGTGACTGTGGAGCACTCAATCCAGAGGCTCACAGGAACTTCCAGGACTCATGCAGAAAATGGGAAAGTGTAGTTTCCCATTACATCTGAACTCAGCCACAATTATCAGCAATGGTGCTGTCTTGTGGCCAAATCAATCACAAGGAGAGTGAGACCGGGAGCAGGATTTTGGTGCAACTCAGAGGAGATGCTTGAGGCTGTCAAAACTATCAGGAAAGCAGCGAGACAGAAAGCTCTTCAACTCCCAATCTTTTTAATGCTAAAGGAACACTGAAATTTCTATAGCCACAATAAACGAAATCTATTCCTTTAGGTTTGCCTCAAAAAAACAAAGTATTCATACCCAGGGAACATGTGCCTCCCCTCCCTCTCTAAACAGCAATATTCCATGCTTCTCCTCAGCCCCACTGGCTGTGAAACTCACCTGATTTTTAAAAGCTGCTCCCCTTCTAAACACATAGCTACTTTTCCTCAGTTCCATTTATTTCCTTAAGACAACAGGTCATCAGAAAACATTGCTTGCAGAAAAACATATCAAAAATATTAGGCAGGAGGTATCGAACGTGCATGCAACCCAGATTAATTAGTTCCAAACGTGTAAATTTTAAATCTGAGCGACAGCCACTACAAGTATATATGTGTATATGTGTGTGTGTATGCGTTTGTGTTATATATAATAACAGGTTCATTGTCATCAGTTTTAAATTAACAAGGCTTCTATGTAAAAAAAAAACTAAGATCCATTGGCAATGAGTAGTTAGCTGCACAATTCCTGGGCTACAGAATGTAGGTTTGCATCCTGTACTTGGACAATGGGGATTCATCTGTGCATTGTACTGTAGTAAATTCTGGAACACTGCCAACACCCATGGAAGAACCTGCAGTTGGAACATTAGCCAGTAAATGGAACAATGTGACAGCTAGATTACCAGAACAGATTTCTGTCTAACAAGTCTGGGCTTTCCAGTTGGGCCTGATGAAATCTCAGAACAGATTTTTGCCCAAAAGGCACCTTCCATATGAAATCATAATCAGAATAGTTCTAGCAGTGCACCCTGTCATGATAACGAGATAGTACACAGTTAAAAGCTTCTGCTTCGCTGGTAAATTCAAACTCAGTTAGAAAACATGAGAAAAACCATACTTGTGTTAATTCCAAAACGTGTGCTTCATGACTGAAAGGGTGTGTTTCTGTGTTGATACATTCAACAACTTCCCTGAATCAGGGGTAGGCTGACAATAGGCCAGGGAGGGACACAGGACATGTCTTTCAGCGCCAATTAAGGTCAGGGAGTCAAAGGCAGAGAGGTAGAACAAAAAATATGGGCATATTTTAGCTTAAAGCAGCTAAAGTCTTAGGAACCACTTTCCAGTAATTTAAAGTGAGGGAGAAAACAGCACTAACACAGGGAACCTTCCAAATATAGAAAGGTCATGGTCCTCTGAGAAACTCCAGAGAGTAAGACTGAGAACCCACGAAGACGAGATTGGGACTGATGCTCTCCACCCATGCTTTAGGTTTATGGGATAAATGTTGTTTTTCACTGGAAGCCCAAGAGCTGACCAATCTTCAGGGGAGCTGGGTACAAAACGGAGAGGTTCAAGGAAGCAAATATGGACAAAGTGCCTCAGTGCCAATGTTTAATCCAGGGCTTTGTTTTCAGTTCCAAAGCTGGTGTTCAAATATATCCTTCAACACAGAAATTTGCTGCTTTTACCTCACCCAGCTCTCTTGCTTTCAGCAGCCACTTTAGGAAAGAAAACAGGGTTTCTGTTATCCCCATTGTTCAACAACTGGGACCCAGGACTTCTTGCTCACTTATTTCCAGTCACATGGAGATTTGTCAGCAGATCCTAATCTTCCACCTAACAGTCCTTTCCCTAAACAGTTAATTCTGAATTGTTACATCAGAGACATATAAAATAAATTCAGTGAACACATGTTTTAACATAATCTATTCAATTTCTGTATGTTGCTGTTTGCTGGTAAAGGTAAAGGTTCCCCTTGACAATTTTTGTCCAGTCGTGTTCGACTCTAGGGGGCGGTGCTCATCTCCATTTCCAAGCCATAGAGCCAACGTTTTTGTCCGAAGACAATCTTCCGTGGTCACATGGCCAGTGCGACTTAGACACGGAACGCTGTTACCTTCCCACCAAGGTGATCCCTATTGATCTACTTTCATTTGCATGCTTTCGAACTGCTAGGTTGGCGGGAGATGGGACAAGCGACGGGAGCTCACTCTGTTGGATTCAATCTTACGACTGCTTGGTCTTCTGACCCTGCAGCACAGGCTTCTGCGGTTTAGCCCACAGCGCCACCACGTCCGGTAATTGCTAACTGCTGATAGAAATCCATTGTAATAAATAGTAAAGACAGAATGTGCATGTTAATTGAGACATGCCTGGGGTTGACTGAAATAACACTATCTGAAGGTACAAAAAAGTTTAGAATACAGTATTGCTTTACTATTGTGCTTGTAGCCTAACTAGAAACATTATACGCTATATGCTCTAAGAGATATCTACTAAGCAAGGTCATTCTTTTTACAGAACGATGAAGGCAATATTCCACTACCAGTGCATCAAATACTAGGGTGTATATTGTATCATTGCCTCTTTCTATGGTTTTATCTAGCTTCACACAACAGATATTGTGCTGTATCATCGTGTGGTGCATTTTGCCACCACTGATTTAGAGCTCTGCCTGACAGCAATGAAACACATAGTACAATGACATTATATCCAGGGTTATTTTTTTAAAAAAAATGGTGCTGAGACCAGATAAAGTGACTATATGGAATTAATGCATTATAAGTAGTGGTGATATTGGTAACCTGTTATATTTTGTGTTAATGATGACACAACATGTCTTTGCAACATCATGCAACAATCAGTAATACGACTGAAAAGGTTAACATGTAATGAGTAACATTTACATGTTACTTCATTGGTTAAAATCCTGTTGCAGAGCTCTGCATGAATAATAGGAATGGCATCAGTCAGTAGCAGCAAACCATCACTGATAAAAGGCACCCTTTGGCTGTTTGGGATGCACACAACTTGTGCACAAAGTGACGAAGTCCATGGGCACCTTGAAATCTCCTTGAAAGGAATACTTTAATTGGCAGTCATTTGCCACTACTGATGACACCATTCCCGTTGTGAAAGCAGAGCTGTGCAACAAAGCTGTGCAATGAGATGTTAGCCACTGTCAGTTTTTCAGATCATTTAGAGCAGGTGTCTCAAACATGCAGCCCGGGGACCATTTGCGGCCCACCGGACGATAGTTTGTGGCCCCCGCCTTGCCTGCCCCCCCAAAGTGCCCACACGTCCTCTGCTGTCAAGAGTAAAAAAAAAAATCCTCGCCTCGCTTGCCGGATCTCCCCCAAGACAGCGCCTCTTGCACCCTCCATCTAGAACTGCAGCCTGCCAGCCAGCCTGCCTGTCTGCCAGCTGGCAGGCTGCAGTTCCAAATGGAAAGTGCAAGAGCTGCTGTCTTGGGGGAGAGCCAGCGAGTGAGGTGCGCTGCTGGCCCTTTTCCCCAAGTGTCTGAGCCGCCGCCGCGTGATGCCTGAGAGTGGAACTCGCTCCCGGGCCGTCCTCGAAGAGTGCCTCCAATAGAGCCGCTAACAGCAGCTGCCGCCGCCGCTGCCTCTTCCAAGGAAGTGGCTCTGTGGCTCTCTTTCCCTCTTGGCACCCCTAGCACCAGCCTGGCCAGTGGCCACCTCAGCACCCAGTGGTGCTTCCTCCTCCTCCTCCTCCTCTTCTTTGTCCTGCTTCAGCCGCCTCGGCTCTGGAGGCTGCCTAGGCTTGTCTCTCAAAGTTTGCTCCTCTGTTGTGGTGAGGGTAGCAGCTGCTGCTGAGTGCACCTTTTTTTGAAGGGGGCCCTCAGAGGAAGTTTGCCAGACCTCAATGTGTGCGCGCACCTGTGGGGGGCCCACCCCGTTCTGTTTAATTTCGCAGGTACGAATGGGGGCTTTTCTCCTTTGGCAAGGCGATTCTGTGAGGGTTTTTTAAAATTTTATGTTGTGCCCTCCTTCCCCCGCTAGGCGGTCGCTGGCACTCCCTCCTCTGCTTCTTCGTCCTGCTGGTGGTGGTGGTGGTGGTAGTGAAGAAGGAGCCGGAGGGGGTAGTCCCAGCTGGGCTAAGGAAACTCCTGGGTGGCTTCCTCAGGCTCTTTCTCCACTTGGCGGAAAATCTGGTGCGGCCCAGTCTCACCCAGACTCTGCCTCCAGTGGCCCCCAGGTGAATTGAGTTTGAGACCCCTGATTTAGAGGGCTGAGGCTTTTTTCCCTGGATTTTATAAAAATACATTTTGGGAAAAGGGAAAGACAAGATAAAAGAAAACAAATGTGTTATTAAATATTACTCTTAAAAGTAACAAGTACCGCATCATCATCGTTGTTGTTTTTAAGTAACAGGCTAACACTAACTCATTCTTTAAAAAAAATTATATTGCAATCGTAGGAAGACTCAAGGAGTGGCAGCAGCATCATATCTGGGTCTGGAGAGCTGTTTATGGAATGGAAATCTACCACGTCTTCCCTTTCGCACTCCCCTAGACTGCTCCAGAGAGTAGTGGGAACATCTAGCAAAATGAAGAAGCGGTGCAGGGAGGCTGCAGGAGAAGCCTTTGTGAGATCCAAGTCTCTTCTGTCATCAGATACAACTGCAGTATCCCTTGTAAAATCTAGTTAGTTCCTCAGGGATGAATCTCAGAGCAATTGCTACTAATTAAGACTCTTTGGACAACACTAGGAGCAAGCCTGAGCCCAAGTGGCAGCTCATCAGTGCTACTGTACTGGTGGCTATCCTTCGTCCCCCAAATGATGCCTTCTTCTTATATGATGAGATGGATGGTTTCTTCTAGATTTCTTTACACAACAACCAACATCGAGTAGAATCCAGCAGTGCTAGACTTAGTACTAAACAAGGTAATTAAATTAGGATTTTCCTGATGTACCTGGAAAAGCAAATCCAGATCTAGCTTGGACTTTGTCAGATCCCAAGTAACATGGAAGTTGATACAAACAGACCATCAAATGACCTGAATACTCTCAAAATCTCAAAACTACCACCTGTTACTTATATCTTAACTGGACCTGAAACAGTACTAGTGTTTCCACATCATATCTGGAAGCATTTTATCCTCATGTTCTCAGTGGGTGCTTGATCACCACTGTTGGAAAGTAGATAACTTGGTCATGGCCAAGTAAGTACTCTCCCTGTGCTTATCAAAGAGTAACACTCTAAAAAATAAAAAATAAGCTCAAAGTGACTATTGCTTAAGAAAAGACAAGACCTGACTTCTGAGAGTATAATTACTATTAATAAAAGGCAAGGCCATAATGTAATCATTGTTTGAGCCAACGGGTATCATAGACTATAAAAGCAGGGTTAAGGGAGTGACTCAACTACAGGGAATGTATGCAAATAGCTGACATAAATCATCTTTTCCATAAGTAGATACATCAGCAGTTATCACCTACAATCATGGGCATATAAATTGGTTACAGGGTTGGCTAAAACAAGGAGTCTTTTGTTATCAGTTTCTCATTCCAGCAGATTACAATTGTCCATTTTCCCTTTATGTATTGAGAGCCGACTGTGCTGTATGTGGGTTTGGAGGCACTCTGCAATTTCCATGTGGGCAGATTTCAAAGCAAGGGACAAAGCAGAATTACCAGCCTACAAAAAGAAAAAAAGACAAGAAAAGATCATTATTAGAGATGGGGATGAATATAAAACGGATCAGTTTTTCTGACAAATATAGCTGATTCGTCATATGGTCGTCAATCCGTATTTGTAAAATTTTAAATCAGGATGAATATGGCTTGACGAATATTTCCTCGGTTTGATTCGTCAATCTGTTCATATTCGTCTATATTCGTTCCCCCTTTTGGGGGCCTCTCTGAGCTTGCTGGCGCCAATTCAAAGCTCTGGCCAATCAGGACAGAGATCCTGGATTGGCATGTCCGGCAGCCAATAGTGTTGCTGAAAGGTGTATCTACTTTTACAGACACTTCATATAAGCTTTTCATGTCCAGCCATTCCCCACTTCTGTTCATGCTCTCCTGAGTGAGAACAGTTGTTGCTCGCTGGCTTTCTGGTGCTCTTGTGGTTTCACTTTTGTGGCAACAAAGCAAAGACTTATATTTTTCTTTTTCATCATCATTCATCAATCATCATCAACTTTACTGGGAATTTGGGGAGGGATTTCAGGTAGCTTAGGCTACTTCTTTGGAAATAATTAAATTTATTTCAAATTAAAATCAATCAAACCTTTTTTTCCCTAGAAGCTTGTGTGCATGTGTGTGTGTGTGTGTGTGTGTGTGTGTGTGTGTACTGTCCCGTGGGAGGGGGGGAACTGTCGTCGTGTGGCTGTGGAATCTCTTTTCCTTCATATTCAGTTTTCAAAAGTTTATTTTAGGAGAATCATTTTTTTCCTTTCCCCAAATTGGTTGTGTGTGCGTTTGCATGTCTAGGTGGGAGGATTATTCAGTTTTCAAAAGTTCATTTTAGGGAGGCTTGTGTCTCTCAGGGAATTTGGTGGGTGG